GCAGGGATGGCAGACAGGTATCTCAGAGGAGAAACAACACAGTGTGCACAAAGTAGCAAAAGCAACTAGAGACCTTAACAGTGTCTTTCTGCTCCTTTTATCTTATTCAGACTACCTGGATTTGGGGGGTGCCAAACCAATCACTCATGCGTAGTAGTTTAGTAATCACACACCCTTAATCCTAGCATCACACACTCTAGATTCACCTACCTCCAAAAAAGCATGAGGCTTTGGGGGAACACCTAAACACAAGCCACAACACCAGCAGGCTCCTCCCCTACGCCACAGCCTTGCTCTAAAGAGCCCACTCAGGTTTTGCAAAGGCTGGGTGGATGGTTCTCCTGCTGGTCCAAGCAGCAGCGTCAACATTCTCTCCTATATCCAAAATGGTTCTAATCAGTGGGTGATGAAAGATGTAAATAAACACTGAATTGCTTTTAATAGAAAAATGATTCTGCAAGTAAGTTATCATTCCCCTCAATGCCAGAGGTACACCAAGAGAAATTATTTCACTGAGTGAAGGGTAGAAGTAAATGGTCTTTCCATTTCTTTCCAAATCAATGGTAGGGAAAAATAAGGAAGGCAGACTCAGAAGACCCAGATTTAAAAGTTCCCCTTGCCATTAGTAACTGAAATACTTAGCATATAGAGTCAAGAAATGTTTATTCAGTTATGCAAATTATTTTACTTTTCTGTGTTCATACTTTTTCCATAAAATGGGAATGACATTAATTTTTACAGGGTTGTTGGAATGTTTAATGATTAGTAAATATTTTCTAAATGAATTATGCAACAGAAATAAGCAAGATACAAGAAATTTCTATGTGTCTTAATCAAATAATGCTCTCAACTCTTTGACATGGACAAATTTAAGCTGTGATTTCCAGGAGGCTTCATAACATGGCAGCATTTTCAGAGATGACAAGCTTGAAAGCTACTGCTTTCCTCACAGATCCTCTTCTGAAACCAATGAACTACAGCGCTGACTGATCTCAGGATAAATGAATGATGGAGAATCAGACTCCTCATTTTTCAATGCTTCATATCCTTTTGGCCTTATTTCTTGTCTTAGTTGCTTTCTTGTCACTTGGACACAATACCCAATACCCACAACTTAAAGGAGGAGAAGTTTATTTTGGCTCACAATTTGTAGAGATTTCGGTCCATAGTCAACTGGTTACAAGGCACAGAGAGTGGTCAAAGGAGGAGGGAGAGAGAAAGACCCTTCCAGGTCATGCCCCCAGTGACCCACCTTCTCCACCAGGATTCACCTCTCAATATCACATTCAGCTACAAACTAATCAGTGGACTAATCCAATAACCTTACTAATTCTCTTCTGCCACCCTCGGCCTTCTCGTTCTCCTTCCTTCTCCAAAAGAAAGATACCTCTCGGATGCCTCCTTATACTAAGGGGTAAACCAATCACCATTTGCCACCACATGACTGGGCTTACACCTTTGCTCTGTTACTCACAAAGCACAAGTCACTTCTCTTTTTTCAAATCAGGTTTTCAAGAGGAAGGGGAGGGTGGGAGTGTGGGTAATAGGGAGCATGCATACGAGCACAATTCATTATACACATTGAACTCCCCAAAATTGTGAAACTAGGAGAGAGAATGATAAAAGGGAGGGAATGGGCAGGGATGACTAGAGTGTGTTATGTGAATATAAAACCTGCCAAAAGGAAATGCATTAATCTGTATAACCAATATATACTAATTAAAAATTGTGGGGAAAAAAGAAAACAGAGTTTCATTTGTCATTCAGGAACTCTGGGCCCAACCTCAGAGAATCTGTTACGAATCCAGTGGATGAGGTGTGGAAGCATCTGGTACACAGGGGCATCCAACAAGTCACAGATCTGTCCCTGGGTTTCCTAGTGTCACCACAGCTGGGTCTTTCGGACTTTAACTAGAATTAGTTCCTTGAACTAAAGAGACCAAGCATGAAAGATAAGTCCTTCTCTGAATCTCCATTAGAAGGCCAACATCCTTACTTTGTAATCCATGGCACTGTGTACCTTTCCATTGTGCCCTTATTGCTTTTTTAAACTATGAATCTGTTGCTGCAATCCTTTGATTGACATCAGCTTCCTCACTGATGTGGGTATGTTCCATGAGGGTTGGAATCAGGTCTGTTTTCTATCAAGCCCAGCATGTAATGCCTCAAATGATGAGTAAATGAATGAATGGATACAGAAGGAAATGGTAGGTGTTGGTTCCCATGTGTTGATGGGAAGTGTCTGGATATACTCTGTCTCAAGACCCTAGTATTTATATTGTGAGACTTAGAGAGGGAAAATTATCTTCACTTCCCTTCTTCAGCCTCTTCCATCCCATTTAGCTCCTAGCTTCATTGCATTTCTACTAATGAAAGATGATTTATGGGGACATTTATGAAAGCAATGGAAGGCTTTTCCCAAGCTCAAGTATGGGAGAGTTGGGACAGAGAAGGATTAAAACTGGCCACATCCCTGTCCTATCCATGCTTAATCCATTCTTGGGTGTGGGAGGAGAAGAAATGAACTTGATCTATCAGGGTCTGGACTTTTCAAAGCCTTTTCAAAAAGCCTTTTCAGAAAATTTCCCAAAAATCTGAATATTGCACATAGATAGGCCCAGCAACAGCTACCATCAAGAACAAGGCACATCCCATCTCGGTCTTTCTCATTCCCCCAGGACGTGGACCTGATGTTCCAGCTCTAACCAGTCCCAGCTTGTCAAGCCTCTACCTACCCCCAAGCTCAGAGAGGCATTCAGTCAGATTCTCAGGACACTTTCATGATCAGAGGGCTTTGCCAACTACTACCCCCGATTCTCATTAGCCTTAAGCTTCCCAAAGCAAGTGCAGCCCAGTGTACCATCTGGCTACACTAGACTATCTAGAATAGCCTATTTAGTCATAAATGCTTTATGGAAGTATTTTAAGGGCATAAGAATGAAAAAGTTGCCCCAATAAATGATTCATCAGTGTTATAAAAGTAAAAAGGAATTGCTTGTATCTCCTAGTTTATGTTTATGGAGAACAAAGACCACTCCCAGCATCCCTCCTCTCACACCCTAACATATCTATAGGATCAGAATCCCACCACATTCCTGAGTCTGAGAACAGTGAAGCCCCCTTCCCAGTGGCCCACATTACACAGGGACACCATGCCAACTTCCATTTCAGGTCCACCTTTTTGCACAGGAGTCTTCTGTCTGCTCTTATTGTCCTGCACCACCATTAATATGTTATAGGAGCTGAGGACACAGAGGCACAACAGCAGGGCCTGGTCACAATCCTGGGGTCAGAGACCCAATTCCAAATGGATATGAGACAGTGGAGAGGTCAGAGATGGCTGCTGGAGAAGATGTCACTGTTGTGGTTGTTGGTTACTGGGTTGAGATCGAGCTGCAAAATACAAGTTGTGCTCCATCTCATCTCAGAGTTCCTTCCACATCAGTCACAAGAGCCAAGGTTGAATGTAAGCTGTGGTTATGTGCATGCTGATGAGCATAACTCGGCATTCCTCCTAACATCGTTTTTATTGTATCATACAGATATTAAAATAGTATTTATCATAACACAAAAATTTTGTAAGCATCTTATCATCTCCTCTCTGGACCACAATTTTCCCATCTGTTAAATAAGAAAGTTGGGTTGGATAAATTCTAGCATCTTCTGAAGGCATGAATAAGGTTTTCTTCTTGTTTTTACTAATAAAAATAAAGTAGGTTCTCATTGTAAAATAATCAAAAGACGGAAAAAATTAAAGAAAAGTATACCAAAATTCTTCTATATTCCCACTATCTGGGAATAATCATGATTAGCCATTAAGTTTATATCTTTAAAAATTTTCAATATCAAACATTTATTGGTACATTTTAGGCATACATAATGATAACATTCATCATAGGGAATTTGCACCTGTGGTATTTCTTGTTTTTATAAAATGCATAAGTGTACTATCTATTAAGCTTTTTAAAATTATATACATCATACATGTTTGTTCAGGTCGGTGCAGTTGTAGCTATATTTCATTTTTGGTGATTGTGTATCTTTCTATGCAGCATACCTCCAGTTGATCAGACATCTACATTTTCACTATTAAAAACAAAACATCAGTGAATGTTATTTAACACACACTTCAGTACCCTCAACCACTTACTTCTTTGGGATCCATTTTCAGAAATAAAATTGTGAGGCCGAAGTGTGTGCAAGTCTGCAGCCCTTTTCAGTCTCACCAGATGATTCCTAGGTTGCCCACCTCCCCACCCCTCACTCCATCTGCTGTGCTGTGAATGTGTCCCCTGAAAATCCATTTGGTGAAAACTTAATTCCCATGCAAAAGTGTTGGGAGGTGGGGCCTAATGAGAGGTGTTTGGGTCATGGGGAAACCACTCTTCGGAGTGGATAGTGCCTCTATAAAGGGCCTTGAGTCTGCTCAAGTTTGATCTCTTGGTCACTCTCTCCTCCTCTGGCCCTCCACTTTCTGCCATGGGATGATGCAGCTCAGAGACCTTGTCACATGCTAGTATCATGCTCTTGGGTTCCCCATCATCTAGAAGCATGAGCTGAATAAATTTCTGTTCATTATAAATTACCCAGGCAGTAGTATTCTGTGACAGCAGCATAAAATGGATCAAGACATTGTTCTTTTTTATTTTTGCCAAACAGTTGAAAAATAGAAACTTGTTTCTGTAACTGAATTTTTTTAAATTGTATTTTTATAATTATTTTATAATTGAATCTTATCATTCAAATGTTACTTATTATCCAACATGATGCCTAGCAAATACCTGAAGTGTCCCAGATGGATATGAAATTATCCTTCCCGAGTTCTGGAACACTAATTTGATGGCACACTTCGTTGGTGAAACTAAGGTATGTATCCATTAAATGTTTCCATGTCCAACTCCAGGGTAATGTGACCCAGATTAATTATTAATAAATGGGCTCAGCAGATTGCTGAGTGAAGTAGAGGTCTTCCCTCCACCGGAAGTGTTCACATACCCTGGCTCAGCAGGACAACAAAGAATCTGTCAGGATTCTTGCAGAAGAGCTGCCTGCATTCTGTGACTAGGTACCCGCATTATTTTTCATTACTTCACAATCTGTTACTATTTGATCAGTCAATCCAGTTCAACAATTAGGTGGGAAGAAAAAGAATCAGACTGATTGTTTTACTTTTCTGTAAGAATTGATTGTTCAACTCGGACAAAAATGTTGATCCCATTTTGCATGTGGAGATAGTCAATTTAGAAGAATTGTTCTTGTTGGCCTGAACCCAGGGAGACAGAAATTAAATCTGACACTGCAGCAGAGGCTGGCATGTGGGAGAAGGTGAATGAATCACTCAAATCCTTAGAGTTTTTCCCTCTGGTTCCTCAGCATCTTGCAATCTGGTTGCTACAGCAGAGTGATATTAATTATTGACAATTTAATAAACATTAAGCAAACATTTATAATTGGTGGTAATTCGATGGTGCAGAATCATTGACTCTGTCCAAGGGAATCATGAAAGTTATTGAATAATAGGTGTAGCTATAAAAACAACAACAACAACAACAACAAAGGCCCTGAGAACAAGGTCTATCCAAGTTGGGCCTCATTATCTGGGCAAGGAAGTTAAAAAGAGGAATCCTAGGGACCAACTTTCTTCCCTTGAGACTCTCAGCTCTAGCCAGCAGGGACAGAAGCCAGCTGGAGCTGCCCTTTGGCCTACATTGGGTGGGGAATGTTTCCAATGAAAGCATTCACTGTACTTGCAAACCGCTGTTTAAAACTGAGAGCCAGGTGAAAGACACAAGCACTGTCTCTTTGCGTGCCTTACATTGGAAGTAATCTTGGGAAAATGCAAAGGATAACACAAAAAGAAAACAAGGAAGTTCATATTGCAGGAATTAAAACTTGAGTCAACAGAAAGAGACCAGAGAAATGGAGAAATTCTTCATCCTTAGAGCTTTGTAAGTAGTATGAGACTCATTCAGTGAATCTGAAACTCACACTTCCAGAGAAAAGGTAGGATGATGAGGGTTCCGGCCGGTCCTTGGTGAATGCAAAGGAATCCTCTATGCACTTCAGTAGAAAGGTGTGAGCTTTATGGCTGAGAGGTGGAGGGGAGTCCTTGTCAAGCAGACATGATAGAAATCCTTGGATTAAGCACATGGGAAGTGACAGAAAGCGACCCCCCCCAGTTTATTAAACTCACCAACCACATGTATCTCTACTGTTCTTAGTGGTACAAATAAAAGCATCAGAAATGACCAGGAATATATATTTTATGAGTTAGGAAATCTGAAGCAAGAAACCAAAGGATTTGGAAGCACAGTTGGTATTTTCATTGCTTCTTCATATCAATAGATAGGATTTAGGAGGGGGTGCGAAAGCCAAAGAGATGAAGAGGGGGCTCTGCAGATGGCATTGTGGGCAGGAGCTGAGTTGTTAGATCATGACTTAAGATCCCAAAATCGTGGAATAGTGGCCAAGGATAGAGTGCATTTCATAAGGACAGGAAACAACTCACCCAGCAGCTCACTGATGACATCAAGAATGCTTTAATAACTCAAGTCTGGTGAAATGTTGATAACCTTCTTAGGACAGATACAGAGATAGGCTGATCTGCCCTAGCTGCTACCCCCCAGATATTAACTCTTTCACACCCATCTCATTTTAAACCAAGGCCATGCTCCTCTCACCATGCCCCAGCCAGTGGACTCCTGTAACGAGCACTCTTTGCTCCAGACCTCTCTTTTAGCTGCCAGACACCCAAAGAAGTGCAGTTACTCTGCCCAATCCTGCTCCTTTTTTTCTTTTCTCAGGGGTTTTGCTTCTCTATCTCCACCTGAGCATCTGGCTGCCAGGTCAGTAACTGGGGTTCAGTCTGAGCATAATGTAGCTGAGGTCATATTAAATTTGATAAAGTAAAGAGACTATACCCCCAAAGAATCTGCCAGAATTGGTTAACATGTACCAAGAAGAGTTAGAGATTACCTGTGGGACTGATTCCTTGGGTTTTCCATCATGGGAGCACGCCGACTTGGGGCATTCTCTAGCACACTGGATTTAATACCCAGCAAGGGCCCCAGGTAGTGGTACAAATCGGCTGGCAGGATAGCTTCTAGGGGGCTAGAGAGAGCTAGGGCCCATGCTGAGCAAGGTTGACATGCCTAAATTGTCATGGCAAATGGCAGAGGAAAGGATCAACGGGGTTAGAGAAATGGGATGCTGGAATGGATATATCATATGCAATCAGAAGGCCCACTAAACTCTATGGTCACCAAGAAGGACCAAAGGACACACAATTCAGGAAGGCTGTCAGGAATGTGGTGGTGAGAGGCATCAGCAACACTAAGAATCTCAGCAGTGGCCACTCTTTGCAGGCCAGGGCTGATGGTAAGGAGAAACTGTTACAGAGCTGGGCTCACAGACAGTAACTGGGATGACAGAACTTTGAAAAAGTAGAAGCAGTCTTTAATGACTAAAGCCAGTGGGTGTAATTATTGAAATAAATAGCAATACAGGAGAAGCAGCTAGGGACTCAGATTGCTGTGATGATGGTTAATAGGATATGGCATTTGTAGAGGCCAAGTAGATAGACAGCCAATAAAGACACTGGTTAATATATATAATCAAATAAAGGAGAAATGATGAAAATGAGGCTGGGGGAGGTCACTCCAATTAAAAAGTCACGATACATTGTCCAGACCAAGAATTTGTTGATTACAGAGGCAGCCAGTCCCCAGGAGGAGGGACTCTGCAACACCATGCAAATATGTACTGCAATGGATCCCCTGGTCCTTCCCCTCGGGGATGTGTGATTTTACTTGGGTGACTGTACATTAGGGAAAGAATAATACCTAAACTTGTTTTAAATTGACAGAGAATAATTGTATATGTTTATGGAGTATAGGATATCTGCACTTTTGGAGGATAATTGGGCACAGGACCTGAGTTGACATTTCTATCCAGGGACCTGAGCCCTCATTAGAGCAAAGGCAAGTAGAGTCAGGTAAGAAACAGAGTCCTGGCCAAAATCCAACTTAAAATGAGTCCTCAGGGTCCAAGGACAAACCCAGTAGCTATTTCCCCAGTTCCCAAATGTATATTGGGATTGGAATGTTCTCCAATTGGGATAATCCTCACTTTAGATCTGTTGTCAAGGCTAAGATCTAGCATACTGAAGAAAATGTGGAAGCCTCTGTAATTGCCCTCCCTATACACTCAATCAAGACAATGAAACCAAAAATAATGACCACCATCACATTTGGGGAGCAAGGGTGACAGATTAGTGCCCCTGTTAAAGATCTAAACACGCAGGGATGGTGACCCTTAATATAGCTATTTAATTCATCCATCTGACTCTGGAAGAACTATTTGGAATGGCCAGCTGAAGCACCATTTTCAAAGACAGAACAGTGTCCTCCAGGATGCAACATATGTCGTGAATCAGATAACTCCATGCGATGCTAAATGAAACTGTGTACCCAACAGCATAAACACATAGATCTGCGAACTGAGGGATGTAACCAGGAGTGGGTAATTTACCATCATTCCCAATGACCCACTGGGAATATTTCTTCTTCCCATCCATGGAATTCTGGGCTTTGCAGGATTAATAGGCCTTATCCTTAAAGGATTTCTTAGACCACAGTTAGGGCTGCTGCCTAGGTATTTTGAACTCCTGTGTCCAGTGACCAGCAGGCAAGGAAAGGAGTCACCATGTTGGCACTGGTGACTGAACCTGTTCAGCAGGAGGACATGGAGCAGCCATTACATAACGGTGGCAGGGAGGAACCAGTCTTAGTGTAGATCTAGGCAGTCACTTGGATGCATCTGTCCTTCTTTGCTGTACTGCTTAATAACAATCTTGAATGGAACAGTGCGGCAGCTCTGGCTTGAGATGGTTGTGTTTACCAGGGGACACTTGGCCTAACCTTGAGAAGTATGGTTAACTGACATCCTCTAGCTTTTCAACTCCATCAGTTATGTCAGCTTTGAACTGAGGTCAGTCTTCTCTAGGTAGCATCAGCCAATGATTAAGTAAAACTACCCAGCCACCTCTGACAACACAGGACTATTCTAAAGACTAGCTTGATCCTGGACCTCCTTGAGCTAGCAGAAACTTTGTCAGCTCTGTTTCACATCCCCTTCCCCTGCCCAATCCTGCTCTCATCCATGGGTATCATTTCCTACCAAGTCTTTTGTCCTCCTAACTCCACCTCCACATCTGCTTCCCAAAAGGAACCAGTCAACTCACAGTTGAAACCAGGTGATTTACATGAAGGTTAATTGTACCAGTCTTACCAGTCAGGGGTATTTTTGAGCATTTTCATGTTTAAAATTTTTAAAGAAAAACAACTGAGAAGGGGAAAAAGAATATCTTAAACATTAGGCATTAAATGAAAAGAAATAAAAATGTTCAGATAAATCATGCTATAATTTATCACTTCTAATGCTGTAAAAATCAGATAATACAACATCAAAAAATAAATAAGAATGAGTGAGCAGTTACTTTTTTTTTACTAGAAAGCAATAGAGCAAAAAAAAGTTATAATCTTAGATATCTTATTTTTTGCCAGTCCGCAGAGCATGAGTAACAAAATGAATTGAAGATAATTTGAAAGAAATTCTTACAAGATAGGGCAATAAATATGACCTTCTCTCACCAAGCTTGAGAAAGAAGAGATACAAAATTGAAATATGTTGATGGAAGCATATGCCTTATTCAAGACAAATAGCCCTGTTAGGGGAAGCGATTGAGTAGAATGTTATGTCAGGAAGATGGACATCTCTGTAAAAACCAGGGACCTGCAGATGGATGTAGATTGAAGAGCGATTAGATAGGGAGACAGGAATAGAAGGAATATTGTTGTAGGGTAGGCCAGTATTTCTCACATATAGCTCATGATCAGAATTGCTTATGAAACCTATCAAATGCAATTTCTTGAGCCCCTACTATATTATAAATTCTGAACATTGGACCCTGAAATGCATATGTTTATAATTCCCCAGTTGAATCTCTAATACACAGGACAGGACAGGGGGGCAGATGAATAAAAAGGGTGGCAGATTCCTAACAAA